ATATACATTATATATATATATATATATCTTTCTTTCTTCTAATCGTCATGTCTTTGGCTCTGCAGGTTTTTCTGTGACTGCGGCGCAGGGACTTTGTCAAACCCTTGCACACTAGCCGGAGAGCCGACGCACGACACAGACACGCTGTACGATTCAGCGCCTCCTATAGAGTCCAACACACTGCAGCACAACTGAAGCGTAGCCGCTCCGAACCGAACCGACAGACTCCATGTGCTCAGATGAGATTACACGCTAGAAATAATTCAATTTTATTCAAACAAACTCTTTGAGAAAGAAAGCATTGCGTAAACGCAGAGGGGAAACATTTCTATTTAAGAAACGTTCTGCTGTGGATCCCGTTTCTCCCTGCCGCTCTCGGACGGCGGCGGCGACTCAGGATTTGTGGGATGGGAAATGAGGACATCTGAGCCACACGAGAGAAACGTACCCAGAGCGAATAGACTCGATGCTTCCCATGCAGCCATCACCGCGCTCTTGTATATGTATGGAAAAAAATGACCCAGCACTTCAGTTTTGCTTTTCATTGTTTTTTTTAAAGACGTTGAGTTCTTGAGGTTTGATTTTAATGCTTTCTCATGTAGTTTTGTATTTTCAAGCAAAAATCTTAAATGTACTTGAATGTCTTTTTATTTTATTATAAGTATATTAATTTTCAGGGTTGTTTATACCTTAGATTGCTGTATTTGTTCTCATGTCGCAGGATGTATGTTCTTTCTGTGAAAGAGATTTGAGGAAAAAAAAGAGAAAAGAGAGAGAAACACTAAGTATTCTCCAGCAATGTTTTGAGTGTGAAAGTGATATGAAGTGTTTTCACGAGCCTGGTCATAACGATTTGGCCCATATGCATATGTTCAGAAGTGATTTAAATAATTAGCCCCGCCCCCTCATCCTGATTGGACGACGACAGGATTTTAAACCATAACCCACTCCGTAAGACACCAGACTTGTGAAAGCATCGTGTTCTCACGCCGCTTCGCTCTGAATGCCACGAGTGAGGCGATGTGAGCCGAAGAGACATTGCTGGAGATTTTTAAGAGGCTTCGTGCTGATTTGAAGCTCTGATGAATATCTGTACAGTTTTTTTGTGTTTTTTCCCCCTCCATCCAACTGTATTTGGTGACTGTGGGTTCTCATACAGCCTGAATTGTATGCATGTTCCATGACATCTAGACTTAATATATTGTGAAGTACTCAATAACCATTATGTAGCTGTTAGTAATTAATCAAAAGTTTAATTTCCTAGTCAGAGGAACGTGTTACATTTTTAAAAATAAACTTTATTAGATCATTTCAGTAGTGAGTGCTTGCTTTCTATGTGCCAACAAAATAATAATGGACTTGTGAACAGAAGTACTTAAAACAAAGAAAAAACGCTCTCCATCACAGGTTGCCAATCATCCGAACCAATGTTGTGACCCGTTCGTGATCAGCGGTGGGCTTTTCAGCAAATGAGCACAACTTCCTGTTAAAACAAATGAGATTATGGTCAATAAATGAGTACAGGATCTGAACTTACATTATAAACAAACATGATAACTTTTAAAAACCGTTACACCCCTAATATATATATATATATATATATGATTAGCAGAAAATTAAAACATAAAAATACAAAACACACATTTTCTGTCTATATATAATTAGGATTTCAAAAAATGTGGGACATTTTCCGAAAATTTCCCCTAAAATTTTTTTGGGAAAGTTTCTGAAACATTTTCCACCCCTTTATACACCAACTCTATATATACTTTTTTATTGTTTTGTGTGTGTATATATATTAGTTTCTTTTAATCCTCATGTCTGCATCTTCAATGTGTGACTGATTGTGTTTCTGTCTGCAGGTTTTTCTGTGACTGCGGCGCAGGGACTCTGTCGAACCCTTGCACACTAGCCGGAGAGCCGACGCACGACACAGACACGCTGTACGATTCAGCGCCTCCTATAGAGTCCAACACACTGCAGCACAACTGAAGCGTAGCCGCTCCGAACCGAACCGACAGACTCCATGTGCTCAGATGAGATTACACGCTAGAAATAATTCAATTTTATTCAAACAAACTCTTTGAGAAAGAAAGCATTGCGTAAACGCAGAGGGGAAACATTTCTATTTAAGAAACGTTCTGCTGTGGATCCCGTTTCTCCCTGCCGCTCTCGGACGGCGGCGGCGACTCAGGATTTGTGGGATGGGAAATGAGGACATCTGAGCCACACGAGAGAAACGTACCCAGAGCGAATAGACTCGATGCTTCCCATGCAGCCATCACCGCGCTCTTGTATATGTATGGAAAAAAATGACCCAGCACTTCAGTTTTGCTTTTCATTGTTTTTTTTAAAGACGTTGAGTTCTTGAGGTTTGATTTTAGTGCTTTCTCATGTAGTTTTGTATTTTCAAGCAAAAATCTTAAATGTACTTGAATGTCTTTTTATTTTATTATAAGTATATTAATTTTCAGGGTTGTTTATACCTTAGATTGCTGTATTTGTTCTCATGTCGCAGGATGTATGTTCTTTCTGTGAAAGAGATTTGAGGAAAAAAAAGAGAAAAGAGAGAGAAACACTAAGTATTCTCCAGCAATGTTTTGAGTGTGAAAGTGATATGAAGTGTTTTCACGAGCCTGGTCATAACGATTTGGCCCATATGCATATGTTCAGAAGTGATTTAAATAATTAGCCCCGCCCCCTCATCCTGATTGGACGACGACAGGATTTTAAACCATAACCCACTCCGTAAGACACCAGACTTGTGAAAGCATCGTGTTCTCACGCCGCTTCGCTCTGAATGCCACGAGTGAGGCGATGTGAGCCGAAGAGACATTGCTGGAGATTTTTAAGAGGCTTCGTGCTGATTTGAAGCTCTGATGAATATCTGTACAGTTTTTTTGTGTTTTTTCCCCCTCCATCCAACTGTATTTGGTGACTGTGGGTTCTCATACAGCCTGAATTGTATGCATGTTCCATGACATCTAGACTTAATATATTGTGAAGTACTCAATAACCATTATGTAGCTGTTAGTAATTAATCAAAAGTTTAATTTCCTAGTCAGAGGAACGTGTTACATTTTTAAAAATAAACTTTATTAGATCATTTCAGTAGTGAGTGCTTGCTTTCTATGTGCCAACAAAATAATAATGGACTTGTGAACAGAAGTACTTAAAACAAAGAAAAAACGCTCTCCATCACAGGTTGCCAATCATCCGAACCAATGTTGTGACCCGTTCGTGATCAGCGGTGGGCTTTTCAGCAAATGAGCACAACTTCCTGTTAAAACAAATGAGATTATGGTCAATAAATGAGTACAGGATCTGAACTTACATTATAAACAAACATGATCACTTTTAAAAGGTTTGGGAGTGCATTTCTGTTTAAATAGAACGGGAATGCAAAAATATTTTTTCTATATTTGTGGTAGAATCCCATTGACTCCTATAGAGGTTTACCCAACCATGACGACTTCTGCTGCTGAGAAACCCGGAAATATGAAAAAGGTCCATTAAAGGGTTAGTTCACCGAAAAATGAAAATTAGCCCACAAATTACTCACCCTCAAGTCATCCTAGGTGTATATGACTTTCTTCTTTCAGACGAATCCAGTCGGAGTTATATTAAAAATGGTCTTTGATCTTTCAAGCTGTTTCATGGCACTCAGCAGGTGTTGCATGCATCAGTCCAAAACAAGTTAAATAAAAAGTGCCCATCCATAAAAAAAAAGTGTCTCACACGGCTCCGGGGGGTGAACAAAGGCCTCCTGTAGCGAATCAATGCGTTTTTGTAAGAAAAATATCCATATTCAAAAGGTAATCAAAGCTAATTTTTAATATAACTCCGACTGGATTCGTCTGAAAGAAGAAAGTCATATACACCTAGGATGACTTGAGGGTGAGTAATTTATGGGCTAATTTTCATTTTTGGGTGAACTAACCCTTTAAAGAAGCCCGAAATACACTGGAACTCTTATTTTGAGCTGCTCATTCAGACGAGCATTTGTGGTTAAAAAGTATATACATTTTATTTATTTCTTTTTTTTAGAAAATGACCAATGGTTTGGCTAGATAAGACTCTTATTCCTCGGCTGGGATCGTGTAGAGCCCTTTGAAGCTGCACTTTGCACCTTCAGCCCGTTGATCCCCATTGAAGTCCACTATATGGAGAAAAGTCCTAGAATGTTTTCCTCAAAAACCTTAATTTCTTTTTTATTATAAAATTTATAATAAAATAAAAAATGTAATAAAATCTTTAAAAAAATAATAATAATAATAAATACTCAACACTAAAATGCCCAGATTCGTCACAATTACGAGAATTTTGGTGTGAAATGTACTTAATGAAAACATCACAATGCAAAAAATCTGAACGGTCCAATCAGATCACAGTTCGTAAAGTCACTCACTTGAATATCCTGAGAGACATGGTGCTCCTCTCAAACTCGCGGGCCTTCTTATGGCCGGACTGGATGACTTCCTCCGGGATGTTTGCCAGGCGAGCCGCGTTGAAGCCATAACTTTTGGGACATGCGCCTCTGATGAACTTGTACAGGAAGGTGATGGTCTCCTGACTGGGGTCCTCGCACTCGTTCTCCACCATACAGGCCTGACAGGAAACTCAGAGAGATCAGTACACTCCAAATATAGCTCAATGTACAGTAAGAAATGAGCAGGGTCCATTTCTGATTTAATGCTGACTTCATTACGTTCACACTAATAGGTGTCAAAATAAAGCATCACACCTTGTGAAGAGTAAGTGAAACAAACATGAAATGACACCCTTATCTAGACGCTGGCGTGAATCTCCTTAATTAATCCATTTACTGTTCTGTTGATTACCACATTCATCATCCCTAAAACCATGGTAATGCACTTGCAGTGGAAGTCTATTTGGGAAAGTGTTTGGGAGGATTTAACAGGAGAAACATGCAAAAACATGTTATTTAAACTGTAAAAGTACCTCAGTCATTCTTTTATTGATGTGACTAATGCTTTAGATGGACAAACTTGGTTAAACATGAAAAAAGTCTGAAAGTTACCAAGTTTAAATGGTCATGGCAGAAGCTAAAACCCTGGATATAAAGACAAGGTTAGTAAATTATTTGTAAATTAATTTTTATTTTTATATTTTCGTTTTAATTCTAGTTAACATTTTACGGATTTTTTTTTTTTTTTTTTTTTTTTAAAAAAAAAAAAAAAAAAAAAACTCTAGCTTTCTATTCTACTTGTTTTTCTTTGTTTGTGTATATATATATATATATATATATATATACACACACACACCTTGCTACGTGTACTGCGTTAGGCTAACCGAGACTTGTCATTTGCACTTATATATTGTTGCTCATT